TCAGCACGTACAAAGGTAATTTAAATAATAATATACGACTGTGTAGGTAGGGCCCGCATAAAAATATTCCTGTGGCCGGTCCTGTAGTGGGAGTAAAGGGGGAATAGTACCCGTGCTCTCAGTATTTGCTAGAGAGCTCTAGAGTTCGGATTAGTAAGTTCTATTAATAATTAAGAAGTAAATGTTTAAAGTCTATTTACTCCAATAAGTTGGTAGTGTTCAAATATTCGGAATGATACCTATACTTCAGTCACTAGGTTAATGGTATATTTAATTTCTATGTATGATAGAAATGTAAGCCATACTTAGAAATTAGTAATGTACGTTCACTTTGGCTTTGGTTACTTTACATATTTAATTGTAAAAAACCGTACGTAGATCACTGTTCATCTTGAAAATTTGTTAGTGAATAAAACCATCGTAGCATCCCCTCTCTATCCTTATCACTACATCATTTTTTTACCGTAACGCTCTTTTACTATATACACTGTTCATTCAAGGCACACCTAACGTCTTCAATTAACAGTTATATATAAGAAACACGATTTATACGGAAATTACATTTAAAAACTACATTTTCATTATGCAGAAATTGTTCCATAAACTAAGATATACTTAAAGCATGATTCAAAACATCCGGTACAAAACACTACGAATCTCCGTAATGAAATACCTATAAGGAGCAGATACTCCTTATTAATATTGATTCATTCAAATTTCATTCAAAACCAACATATAAAAACAATATTATGTTACCAATGCTATGCCCCGCAAAGTTAATTGATACAATTGGGCCTTTGTTTCGGCATTGATTAATCCATTTAGATTAAGTATGTAAATTCGTAGGAAACTAGGCAGCAGGAAGAAAATTAAATAACAATAATGGTCTCCATTTATTTGGAAATATGACAGTTTAAAATAAATGCTAGTTTTGAACTGTATATAACTAAGCAAAAAAAGGCTATTTTGAAGAAACTACGTTATTAATATGGACTTTGGCATCGACACTAACGATCACAGAAAAGTAACAAATATAATTAGGAACGGTCAGTTATTGATCTTCATTTACAACGAAGATCCGGGCTTTTGGTAGTGAACTTGAGTAGATAGATAACGTTATATAATTAGGTTTCACGGCCTAATCCCATTTTACCTCACACAAGCAGAAAGGTCTAAATGACGATATGTACGTAAGTAATATCAACATACCTATTTGAATCTGTTAAGCAATAGGGCGAAATTGAGAAGGCTACTCAAATTTTCCACAAAAACGAGCAAATTGAATTCACTATACGAAAATTCACAGAAACTAAACCAACACTTAGTCGGAATCCATAGCGCTCAATCTTCATTCATGCAGAAAAATCTTCATAGAGGTGGAAAAATCTGAGTGGTCCCATATGAAATCTGTTTCACGGTCCACTTCGCCAAGGATCTTTCTGTTCCGTTCACACGCAAACTTTCGAACGTCAAAATTGTCCATCGAAAATTGAATGCTAGTTCTTTATACCCAGGGTTTATAGTATAGTCAAACTGTAAATTTTCGCCCTATGAATTTCAACGATATTTAAAACATCGTATTATTTTTGAATATCGTAAATACACAGTTTATACAACATGTTGCTGAGTCCAATTCCAAAAAAAAACGTACAAACATTTTTATTTTATTGATACCAAGGAACGGGACAAACAAGTCATGAACCTGGTGTTAAGTGACACACCTGTACATAGCAGCTTCAGTGCCACTCAGAGCTTTAAATTGTAAAGATCTGAGGGACACTGCTACTGCACTTGTCACCCTGAGACATGAATTGATAAGTCCCATGCGCCTGGAATTTCCCCAATACCCTTACCCTTCAAAATCGGAACGCAGTAATGCTCACATTACTGCTGGGCAACAGAAATAGGTAAGGTGTTAATACTTAAGTGCTACTAAACATGACCTATGCACAATTTTTCGTAAACTCAGCCATTGACTCCGATTCACTGAATAAGTATGATGTTATGTTAAACTTTAGACTCTAAATCCGTAGAGCTAATATCTTGTACTGACTACACAACGAAAAATTTATCTTCAAAATCAAATAAAATACCGCCACTTTAGAGCTTTAGGATACCGTCAAACTGATTCGCGTATTTAAAAAAATGTATTTTGACACGAAAGCTCTTATACCTTATTGTAAAGGACAAACTTCTCTAATCGAATCGAAATGCATTACCTTAAAAAGAAGACGATTTTAGAGTCGAATAGAAACTTGCGGACCATAACGTCTCGTAAATTCAAATATTCGTTAATTCGTTTACTTCCCTCACGGCACACCAGCACTCGATATTTCTAAAAGTATACTAGGCGGGTAGTGGTCGTGTAAACGGAAATTACTTGCAGCCCGGGGTTCCGATTGAACCCGCATCACCCTGAGCTGTGGTCACTATTTAACTCTACCGTTGAGTTATGTAAGTATTGCGGTATGACAGTTAAAGATTGACTAGTTTCGGACCCTGATATTCTGACGCGAATAGAGAATATTCTAAACTTTTCAAATTCGAATTGTCGATATTGTTACGCTATACTCCTTGTAAGACTGTAATTTCAGAATGAACACTGATATCTAAGCGACATTTTTATTCGTCCTAGTGTCTAGTCTAAGTGGCTGTATTTTCAGCATATTCACAGATATCGATCTTTCTGGATGGCTATATACATATACTCATAGACATACTGTACACTGTAACCCAGACACTCCTGGCCCTGCGCTATGGAAACCCTGTATCGCGGGTGCCATGGACACACAAAGACAACCACATTACACCCAAACTTACGAGAGAAATAAATGTAGGTTATTATACAAATAGTTCTCCTGTCCCGAAGACCTGGATCGAACCCGGGACCTCTGCGTGGCAGACCAGCATGGTAACCATTCGACCACACAAATTAAGATAATAATGTCCATATGAACCAATGGCCAAGTATACCAAAACATTTAACCGAAAACAAAAGACGATTAAAGGCATTCTTCTTTCAAATTAACGTTCATGTGGCAAATATGTCCATGAGGGTAAATTTTGACGAAAATCTCAAAGATCACAGAAAGTATTTCTACTTAAGATCAGCGCTAGTTCGATATAGATATCAAGAAGGGTTTCAAACTTACAGGGTATTCTAAACGGGAAACGCATTCCTTGGGTGTAAATCTTATGGACGCATATTATGTATTATTTTCACGCAGTTAAAGTCGCGGATATCGTCTACTATTGTTGCATGACAACCTCCGTGCTCGAGTGGCTTGCACACCGGTTTTGATAGTGTCACCCTCTCTGAGGTCCTGGGTTCGATCCCGACCAGGTGAATAAAGAAAAACTAACTTTTCTATAAGAGACAATAGAGACAGATTCAGAATCAGAGACAATATTATTGTCTCGGGGTCTGGGTGTTTGTGCTACCGTCGGTGTTTCCGATTTAAATAACACAGGTGCTTTAGTTACTTGCTATGGTATCAGAGCAAAGTGTGTGATGTTGTTTAATATATGTTGTCTCATCATCATCATCATCATGAACAACCCTTTTATATATTCCGCTACTGGGCATGGATCTCCTATCAGGCGAGGGTTTAGGCCATGGTCCGCCACTCTGGCCAATGCGGGCAGGAGACTTCCCTCGTTTTCCGAAGGTTGTAAACCTTATTCAACGTTGTTTTCTTTTACCGTATTATTAATAATAACTTTAATAATAGAGGAGGAGACATTTAACAAGATCAACCAGGTCCAGGTTTTTTTATTTATTAATAAAATGACAAGTAAGTAACTAGAAACACAAAGTAATAGCGATCGTACCTTTTTTCTTAATAGTACTAAAGATATATAGGTGTACTTAAGTACTACCAACAATTGTGTTAAAAAACAAATCAAATCAAAGCGGCAGTAAATTTGTTAATCAAATTATCACAAAGACAAAGATTATGCGCAAGTAACGTGTGTACTCGTAATTAGGTTACGAAATGCAATCCAGTTTCATAACTTAACCTATGACTGGACGATTGTTTAATAAATTCATGAAAATCTATTGTTGGAACAAGTAATATATAAAACATGGTAGAAAGTTGAAAAATACTTAGTCTGCCAGTGACTAATGAGAGAATAACATCGGAACAAAGTAAGTAATGTGATATACAAAACACAAACAAGGCGAACGGAGACCGAACCTTGACAGCCGCCTTGCTAAACCTTGATCCATTATTTTCATTTTCTCATGTGTATCTTAAACGGTTTGGCACCGGTCTCATTAAGTCAAATCAAAACACACTGACCTATAGCAAATTGAGAGCTTCATATTTAGTAGCAGTAGAGCTCCTTGTGAATGAGTTTGTTCAGAAAAGAACTGACACCTTACCTATTTCTGCCGCCAAGCAGTAATGTGAGCATTAGGGCTTGATCTTAGAGTGACGGTAGCTTTAAAGCTCTGAGTGGCACTACAACTGCTACGGGCAAGCGTGTCGCTTAACATTGGCCCACGACTTGTGCGTCCCGTCACTTAGTATCATAAAACAAAAAACATATCTTCAAGAAATTGTTTATTTTATCGCGAAGTTATCACAGTTTACTTTCTACATTTAAAATTCTTTACTTACGTCTTATTACTGGTTTTTTAAACTTTGAATTTAATTTCCCCAACATAGAAGTGTAGTTAGCTGTGGTGAGACCTGGTGTCCTATATTATAAGCTTCTGCTTAGTTTAGGTAGGTACCAGTCTCTTGTTTGTTTGAAAAAACAAATACACACAAAATCACACAAATATATGTGTAACAATCGCGAAAACCTAAGCACTCGATACTAGTCTCTTGCCAGCATAATGTAAATATATTTTTTTTACTATTTTTCGTTCTTTCGTTCATTCAAACTGTTATATTTTTAATTATTATTTTTTATTTTCAGTATTTTGTTGTGTTTTACCACGATGCTCTCTGTGTATGTTACCTTTTTCTTACTTTACTATTTCTTTCAGAATGCCACCCCAAGAAACACCACAAGTGGACCCAGTCCCCAGTGGGGTCCTATTCGAGACTGACACCCAAACAGCTGATCTGGGACTAGACAAAGACGTTTCAGTGCTGAAGAAAGCGACGCCCCGAAAACATCAGCTCGTATGGGGGAATATAATCTGGTTTCTTTATTTGCACATCGCCTCTTTGTACGGGATTTATTTGGTATTCACATCAGCGAAGTGGCAGACTAATGTTTTTGGTAAACACCAGTTTACATATGTACACTTGCCAGTATTAACACAATAAATACACACAGCGACAGTACAATCTAAAAAATTCTCCTTAAAATCGATGTTTAAATCAAACTGCCTCCTTGGCCGAACGGTTACCATGCCTGCCTCTGTGTGACTGCCACACAGAGGTCCCAGGTTCGATTCCCGGCACCCGCGACTCAGGGTTTCCCTATCGCGTGACTATTTTGAGTATATGCGTTATTATTATTATTATTAAACTCAAACTCAAACAATGTTTTTTTCATAGGTAAGCAAATTACACTTGAAATCGTCATTTTGATTAAAGTCTACAGCTCATACTGATTAAACACAACACTGCTCATTCGTAAGGCAGATTCCCCAGAGAATGAGGAAGAAACTGTAGGGGTTGCTCCTTGTAAAAATATACATTTGTACACATTTATCATTTACAATCTTTATGAATGAATGAATGAATAAAATATTCTTTATTGCACATGATCCTAATGCGCAACAGGCGGCCTTATTGTTAAGTAGCAATTTCTTCCAGGCAAACTTAGGATAGAAATTTAAAAGTTTGGAAAAGGGTTTATTTCAATATCGTGGATAATGAAATTAGTTGTAATATATTAAATATTTTCTAACATGCACATTTTCGAAAACACTTTGTAGTTTGTACGTCTCTCGCGCTTTTCGAACCTTTATTTTACCACGTCAAGTGATGGAACGAATAAGTAATGCGCCTGATGGTAAGCTCACGCCTGTCCATAACAATTGCAGTGCCACTCAGACATTTAAATCGCAAAGATCTGAGGGGCACTGCCACTACGGCTGTCGCCCTGAGACATAAGTTGACAAGTCCCATGGGCCTGTAATTTCACCAGCACCCTTCAAAACCCGAACGCAGTAATGTGACCATTACTGGTTGGTGGAAGAAATAGGTAAGGTGGCAGTACTTCCCCGGACGAACTCTTTCACAAGGCTTTTCACAACTGCTACTAGATTTAGTAGCTCTACTGCTACTTTATTATGTTATGTCCCTATCTACCGACCCGAGAGATAGGGTTTTCCGACGTGACTACGGACTCGACGGCAAGACCAGGGTACAGCGGGCGTCCGGGCCAAGCCCTCCGCCAGTGTTACGCCTTTGCGGGCGCCTCTGGTGGACTCGCTGGGGTTTGTGGTTAGCTGCAGAGACGGACATGTTTGTCTGCCCCGGTTGGGTATGGCCGGGGCGTGAGCAGCTAGCGCGTCTTAGTAGCGGTCAAGTTGAGGGCCTGAAGCGAGGAGACGCGCGAGGCACGTGAGTTGCCCTTTAAGTTAGAAGCTATGTTCGGATATTGTCGCACGACACTGCGTCTGGCATCTCCGGCATTAGCCCGGAGAGCTAAAAGAGATTAAGCTGGATATCCTCCGGTCCCTCCACCCGCTTAGGTTATTGCGAACCGGAGAGACGTCATTTTTCGGCGTTCGGAAGTGAGCGTGCCTTACAACACCGCCACCTAAAAGGATATTTGGTAGTGGACTTTACAGTCAACGGTTTAGCGGTGGCTACCGCTAGCTGTGCAACGCTCAACGGGAAGTGAGGGTGCCTACAGCTCCGGTACCTATCTGGAAAACCCGAGGCGGCTCACTCGAGGTTCTAGCCTCTCGAGAACCGGATTAAGTCAAGTGACAAAGGTCTGTGACAATCCTGTACACTGGTTGATATGGGGTCAGAACCTGAACTTATAAGTTTCCTGTGCGGGCACAGGTTATAGTGCCCTTCTCGTATAAGGGTCGATAGGGATAATCAAAACTAATGTAGAAAGAGGGACTGCTAGTTTATTAGCAAAAAAAGAACTTAGGTGCCAGTATTTCGTGCTACAAAAATGCAAATGCGTTAGTTGTGACAAGGAGGACAGAATTTACGTCTATCCAACAAATACAAATAATAAATTATTTTGAAATTCTATAATATGACAACAGTCCAAGTCTTAATACCTACTTAGTTACTTATACTACCTAGCTTAATTGAAAAATGGAAGTGATGCTGTATCCATTTCTTTTTTTTTCAGCATTCTTAGTCCATTTAATGTGCGCCATCGGCATCGGCGCAGGGTCTCATCGACTATGGACACATAGAAGTTACAAGGCCCGCACTCCTCTTAGAACACTTCTTATGATTTGGCAAACCATGGGTTTCCAGGTGAGCTATTATTGTATATTATATATTGTAGTGAAGTTGTCCGGGTCCGGGGACCATGGGACCTGTAAAGGGCCCGAAACGTCGGTTTGTTTGAAAAAACAAACATACGCGATTTAAATCCTGAAAAATAGTTTCATTTCCTATTGTTTTTCCACTTTTACGACAGATTTCTGACGTTTATAAAACTTTTCAAGGTCCATCGCAACTATTTGAGTAACTTGTCGATTGACCTTCAAATATCATTAAGAAAAGGTTACTTATGATAAGGACAAAGATGTTAACATTATACTTTACTTACCTTTCCAATAGGACTGCATCTTTGAATGGGCTCGCGATCATCGAACACATCACAAATACGCAGACACTGACGCTGACCCTCACAACGCTGAACGTGGCTTGTTCTTCTCACACATGGGCTGGCTTTGCTGCAAAAAGAGCCCAGAAGTCATTGAAGGTGGCAAGCGAATCGATCTTAGGGATTTGTATAACGATCCTGTGGTTATGTTCCAGAGGAAGTGAGTGTGAATTGTTATTTTAATGTTGTGTGATTACGTTGTTCGGATTTTTTCTTTCATTATCCTGTATTACGCCATCTCATTGAGTCTCTTTAAATGAAATAATTTGTTGAACATCCAAAAAGTCAATGCTTCGTAAAATTATTCGTATTAATAGGTAATCTGTATAATTATTAGTGTATATTTTTCATAAATCGAATTACGCTTTTAATCTTCAAATTACGAGTTCATAATATAACTTAACAGTTACTTTGTTAATTTGGTTCACACAAATTATATCATAATTTTCTTTCCCAGACACTACATGAAGATGATGCCAATTTTATGCTTCGTAATTCCAACAGTGATCCCTGTGTACTTCTGGAATGAGACTTGGCTTAATGCTTTCATGATTCCAACCATCCTGAGATACACAATTGGCATCAATGTCGTGTGGAGCATCAATAGTTTTGCGCACACTTTCGGATACAGACCATATGATAAGTATGTTTTAGACTCCAATGGCTCAAAATGTTTTCTTGAACACAAATAAAATTGAATTTAGTTTTTTCAATAAATTCGATATGTAATTTTCTTTTTATTTTTGTCAGATCACTAAATCCTCGTGATAACATCGCCACTTGGATGATCTGCGTGGAAGGGTTCCACAACTACCATCACACCTTCCCATGGGACTACAGGGCGACTGAATACCCTCTATGGAACATGCTCACACCCACTATCGTATTCATCGACATGATGGCTAAGGTTGGTAATTAATTTTCAATTGGTCAAGAGAATGTTGAAAATCAACAGAAACCTTAAACTCTAAGAACCTATCACAATACAAATAAATTTTTCCAGATTGGCCAAGCATACGACCTCAAGAGCGTTACTCCTGATATCATCAAGCAACGAGCGCAGAGAACAGGCGATGGCACACATTATCTCTGGGGCTGGGATGACCCTGAGTTTACTGAGAAACTGAAGGCCCAACTTGGAGTCGTTACAAACTGCGAAGACAGAAAAACCGCTTAAAATCGTCATCCGTCAAAAGACGATCTGGCCCAACAGAATGCTACCAAAGGATCGTCTTCCTGCGGTCTTGGTTGATCATCAGTACCTCTTGTGGGCGTCATCCACAACTTGCTATAACTTAATGAATAATCAGTACAGAGTACTAAAAAAACCGACCTCAAAAGTACGTGGAATTACGTCTATTTGCTAAGTTTCATTGAAATATCCCCTAGTTCGCCACTATACAGAACTTGATACTGGAGATAATAAAAATAGGTTCTCACTACGACACTACTCAAAGTATATCGAGAGAAAAACGCCTTGAATTGGAGAAATAGCAAAATCAACTAAATAATTGCTAAAAGTAGTTGCTCCTAAATTAAAGTTAGGCGCTATTTATAAAAATGAATCTTCATGCGTGAACAGCCACCCTTTGAGGTGGATGATTTTCTTCAAAATGAAATGGGACCCCCTTTCCAACAAACAAAGAATCAGGAAAATCGGTTCACAAATACCGGAGTTATCGCGTAACATACATACAAAAAAAGAACATACAGTCGAATTGAGAACCTCCTCCTTTTTTGAAGTCGGTTAAAAAGTTTCACTGAGAAATAAGTGATAACATGAAACATGATTATGATGTTTACTTCAAAAGTTAATTTAGGAACATGAACAACAGAGTAATGTTGAAAATTATAACGGTGTAGTTAAGTAGTGATGTGACTACATCTACTTATAACTTTAATTTAATTTTAGCGTTTTTAAGAAAGTTCACTAGTTTAAGATCTCTTTCAAGTAGGGAACTTCAGAAATTATTTAGGTTCGTTCGTAATTGATTATATATGCATGTCTACGTTTATTTCTTCACTTAAAGATGACTGAAAATTAGAAAGTATAAGAATTAAATTGTAATATTTAATTATAATGTTCATGCACTAAAGCGAAAACTTACAGATATAAGCTCCGTAAGCTTGTCTCATTCAGCGCAGGTATTTTCGTCTATGATCATTCCCATATGGACAAAGCTTGTTGTTACGTATGTTGTAATAACAATATTCTGTTAAATATGTATTTTTATCGTACGTGTTATTGATTGTTATGAAGCTGTTACTTTTCCACAAATAAATAAATAAATACACATTACATAAAAGATTTTTACAAAATTTATTATTACTCAGGGCCGTCATATTAAGTACTTAAACTGACAAACAGTCTGACTGTCCACTTGGCAAAAAAGTCGTTACCATCGCATATAAATATTTCCTAGATACTAAGTTTCCTGTGCCCTGTCATTACTCTGGTTCTCCCTGATGAATACCGCAGTGCTGCTTTGCAACAGAAATGGATAGAGCTGTGATATCTACTCCAGCGGTTTCTGTATAGAGATAAAAAGCACTACTACCATTCGCTGATTGGTATAAGACATGGAATGACAGCAATAGTCTTGCGTAACTGTGCTTTGAGTTGTCTCCTGTACCGCCTCTCACTTGAGACTGGTGTAGTTCCCATGTCGTGGAAGCTTGCAAACGTGCAACCTGGGCCGAAAAAGGGCAGCAGAGCTGATCCTGTCAACTATAGACCTATTTCAGTCACTTCCATACACTGCAAGACTATCGAACGCGTACTCAACAACCGTCTCCTATCGACCTTGAAGACAACGACCTCCTCGGTGGTCGCCAGTACGGATTCCGACGAGGGGAATCTACTGGAGATCTTATTGTGTATGCCTGTCACTTATGGAGCGAGGCAATAGTAAAGCAAGGCGAAGCACTTGCAGTGTCTTTGGACATTTCTAAAGCCTTTGACAGGGTCTGGCACTCAAGCCTTTTAAGTAAGCTTCCCTCTTATGGGCTTCCCACTGATCTTTGCAATTGGATCTCGGATTTTTTGAGTGAACGTTCCATTCGAGTGGTCTTAGAAGGCTACACTTCCGAACATATAGCGATAGATTAGACGGAGATTAGATAATAATAATAATAACGCACACACTCGATATAGCCCCGCACTAGGGAAACCCTGTGTCGCGGATGCCATGGACACACACATAGACAACCACAAATTACACCCAAACTCACGACAGAAATAAATGTAGGCCCATACAAATCTTTCTCCCGGCCCGGAATCGAACCTGGGACCTCTGCGTGGCAGTCCGGCATGGTAACCGTTCGGCCACCGAGGCAGTTCAACTATATATATAGATAGATAGATAGATAGATAGATGGAGTTCCTCAGGGTTCCGTACTGTGTGCAACTCTCCTTCTCCTGCATATCAATGATATGTTAATTCCAGGTACCTTTGAGTATGCTGATGACAGCACATTTGTAGATAGGTACTTGACCAATGCAAGGATCAGTGGAGATCCAGTCTTCTCGAGAGGCCATGGTTAGCCGTTTGGATTTGACACTTCAGGCAGTATCCGATTAGGACGATGCCAATCTTGTCAAATTTGACGCTACCAAACCTCAGGCGTGCCTATTCTCCACAAAACGGCCTTTCGAGCTGACTCCGACTTTTCGTGATGTATTCATACCGATAACCGCCTACTCCAGCTACTTGGAAAGGATTTGTCGTCAAATTTGAACTTCGGCAGATACATTGAATCCATGGCCAAAAATGCAGCAAGGAAGCTTGGTATCCTTTCTAGGGTGAGGCGTTACTTTACACCGGGACAGTTGCTTCAGCTGTACCAAGCACAAGTTCGGTCATACATGGAGTACTGCTGCCACCTTTGGGATGGCTCTGCTACATATCAACTGGCCACTTTGGATTCTATTGACAACCGTGCCAAGAGGCTTATTGGTGACTCGGAATTAGTGGAGGTGAAGCTGCTAATCCTTGAACACTGCCGTAAAGGTTGCCTGCTTGTCGGTATTTTACATGATATATCACGGAGAGTGTGCGATGGACTTACACGATTTAGTTCCGCCTTCATCTTTCCATCACCGGGGGATTAGGCATAGGCTTGGGTTCCACCCCTATGTTGTGGATATTCCAAAGATTCGCACGAAGCGTTACATTTCCACGTTTATATGGCGAACGGCTGTGGAGTGGAGTTCCCTGCCTGCAGACTTGTTCCCTGAACGTTATAACTTGGGCCTTTTCAAGGCGAGAGTGAATAGGCATTATTGAGGTGTGCATGCTCCATCGTCGATCTCATCGTCACTTTCCATCAGGTGAGATGGAAGTCAAATGTGCACAAAAAAAAAACAGAATTTTCGCTTACATTGAAGAAAGATAGAAAAACGTTATTTACAAAATATATAAATGACCAAAGTATCTATTAGATATTTTTAGTTTTTACAAACTGAATTGATTTTTCATAGAACCTTGCAGTAAAACAAATGGATGCTTGAAATGTTTCCGATGGACATAGCTGACGGTAACAACGATAAGCGAGAATCGATTACAACCTTTTTCTTCCATTAGCGAGGTATAATTACAGCAATGAAATCAAATATCTACGACTGTAGGTACCTAGTTGGGTTAGGTTATACAAACTGTAATAATATTTAAGTGAATTCAGTACTTACTTGATACTTGGTGCAACGGGCTGGTATCCGCAACTCGACGACATAGCGCCTATTTTGCGTGTGGAAGTGAATTCAGTAATTGTTGCATCAAGCATTACGAGCTAAACTTCTTTTTCAAAATATTATATAACAATATTAGTCCGTACGATAATGTAAATAACTATAATACTCTCCAAGGAAACTACTTACTCGTCTATAGGACTACAGGACGTAACACAAAATATACACAGACCCGTCACATTTAGAGGAAGTAATAAAGTGAGAAGGTAAAATAGTAACGTTTATGTATATGTATATTTAAATAAACAAATTGTAACACAAAGTAGTAATTATTTATAACATATTTCAACATCGAGCTTAGTATGAGGTATTAATTAGCCTTATACTATATAGTAAGTATAACTTAATTGAAAAAAAATGGAAATAAAACAAAAAGGATTTTTTTATTTATGACGAAGCAGAAACAACTGAAAATTTAAAATTGTAACAGTTTAACACTTTAACAACTTTTATAATAAAAAAACATTTTCAACAAAAGTTTTCGAAATTTATAAGGACAACAAATAAACTTGATTAGTGAAAACATGACAGTCGACTAATTTATTATTCTTTATTAGATCTAAAATAAAAAAATAAAATAACCGACTAGACTTGTGAAAAAACATTATGTAAATTTGGGAATTTTACTAGCTTGAGTATTACGCGCCAAAAAATTTAACAAGTGTCGCTAGTACGTTAGAGAAGCAACAGACCTCTGCTTCTACTTGCGCAACTGCGGAAGTTCCGCATGCTTTTCCCCATCTGTTTCCATATCTGCTTCGTCAACTTTTATAAGAAAAAATAGAAAGTTACAACGATTGTGACGGCGCGCGGCGCGGTGCTTGGCGGAGGAGCGCGCGTTTTTTTTAGCAGTTTGGTCAAATTATGCAATCAAAATGAGCCTTTTGCTTAGAATTACTTCTTTGAGATCTTCGTAGTATTTATATTTTCACTTCCACATTCACGACCGACTCCGTTTCCGTTACCGTTAAGATTTTCTTTTGACATCTGTTATGACACTTCCGTTGCATCACTACTCTCAATAATAAATATGACTTAGTAAATAGTATACGTGTAACATAAACTAAAATGGTAACGTTTGATTATTATAATAGAAATTAACTATGAGTATAAAGTGGATCCATATAACTAACGAATATCATAAATTATGAATGAATAATTAATTAATATAAAGAAATTGATGCAAACTACCGTAATCTATAGTCATATAAATCTTGAAATAAGAAAATCTATTTAATACGCCTAGAATCCAACGCCATCATAAATCTTGCATCTCTTTTGCTCAGAGATAAAAACCAACTTGCCATTCTGTTGTCAAAATGACAAATGGACAAACTTGACAGGAGCGTTATCACAACAACAAATATTGAAAGTTATTGGTGAAAATTTTGCATTATTCGACGCTCCAAGAAAGAAAACGAGATATTCCTCACTAATTCTGTTACAAAATAAGATGTTGTCATCTGTTATAAAGGAACACCAAGCGAGGCAAGCTGCTAAAAGGGTCACGCAAGGTAAACATTAGCCCAGCACCTATTTTGTTATTGCGTTTCTGTTCAAGTTTTGAAGTTCTTGAGAACCTGAGTGTTGAAAGACACATTAGTTAGTTAATCCCTCTTTTTTATCAACATCAACACTTCATTCATTTAAAAAAAAGCAAGTTTAATAACACAAAAATGATAGAAATAATAGTATAAATGTGCCAGGCAACCACATCAAATGCCTGGTCTCAAACTAAGGAATTCCCTATGCAGTAAGTACTAGAGCAACGGAATTCACTCTGGGGCACTTCCCAGAACAATCAGACCAGAACCAATTTAGTAAAGTTCATTTCCTAATTAGGTCGTACTGGGAATCGTACCCGCGACTTCCTCACCATTGTCCACAGTATAAACCATTGGGCCATTGAGGTTGTCAAAAGAATTAAATTTACCATGTAATCTACAAGAACTTATGTTGTGGTGTCTCAGGATGTAACATCAATGTTGTGGCTTCTGGGTATATTGTCTTGTATACAGATTATGGCAAGAAAATGACTAATTCAAAATGATTGAATTGAAACTGAATGAAAGTGAATGAGGAAGAAGTGCTTAAAGCCATTCATATTAGTAGTTGTAGGGCGGCTAGTGCTTGTTTAGTTTGAAAATAACTTGAACATTGTCATTTGCATAGATCTAGAGCTAGAACTTTCATCCCAGGAATCTTAGTCTCAAAAATTTCGAGAGTTCACAATCTTTCCAGCATTTTCGAGACTGATGTTTTCAGTCTTGGGAATTTCAAGACTTTTTAGACTATTGAGCCAGAAGTCACTTAATTCAACAGTATCAAAAAATCAACTAAACCAACAGTAATTTTTTTGTTACTAATGCATGTTAAAGCCAATTAACTAATGGCAAATTTACAGGCACATAGGACTTCTTAATTTTTGTCTCAAAGTGACAGTCGCTGTGGCAATGTTTCTCAGATCTGTTATGAACAGATGATGCTGTGGACAGGCGTGTTGCATGACTTATTTGTCCCTTCACTTGGTATCATATGAAATATTTCACAAGAAATTGTTTATCAAAGTTATATACCTTACTTACTTGTACTACATACAAAGTAAAGTAATCAAAATGTTTCGCCAAAATAATGATGATAGTCATATTATTCAGTATTTAACTGTAGTTTTCGAATATTTAACCATGGGTAAATCTCTAGACCCTTTCGACGTGTTTGTTCTCTCATTACGGTTTACAGATCTCCAGTTGCTTTGATTTTATTTTGTTTTTACTTCTGGTTAGTTACTGTACTTGTAGCATTGGGCTCAACGACTTTTTAACTTATAGAAAAGGTAATAAAAAATAAGCTGCCATGCTTACAATAACAACAGTATGTCTACTATTTCAAACATAAAAGTAAAAAAGTATAGTACTACATGCCTGTTAACGTTTATACGCTATTTATATAGTATAGCGCATTAACAACAGGTTCCCATACTATATTATTACACTGGGGAACTTGTTGTTTACATGACATATACAACCCAAATATTTTATTTTACTTATTAAGTGAGCGTCTGGTGTTCAATTCGTTATCTAATTATTGTTCGAGCTACGCATAATTGCTTTAACATTTTATATAGGCGTTCGACATTACGCTTTTCTGTTCTTATGTTTTTCATTCATCAAGTGAAAACAAGATTTATCACCAATGGTCGGAAAAAGCTGTTCCACATACATATACATATGTGGACCATTGTTTATCACAGAGTAAGTTACATAACGTCGCCTTACTTTCTCAAACTCGTATTTTAAAGCACAAAAAAAGTGACAGTGCAACTCCGATTATTGTGATTAAAAGCTCCGAGTGGCATTGGAAGTGTTGTAGACAGGCGTGTCGCTTACCACCAGGCGCACGACTTGTTCGTCCCGTTACTTGGTGTCATTAAAAAAGTATTTAAGCACTTGATTCAGAAACTAAATTATTGTATCACAGAGCCATAAATAATCTGCTGCTACCAAAAACTCATATTATACTGGAATTCTACGTTATAATTAATTTCTTTGAAAATAACGTAACAATACAATGTAATTATTATTATAAACACGTCCCAAAAAAATAGCCTTTGAACATTGACCTAGTTGGCCAATGCCTATGAAGGTCGCAATGACCATAGCCTGTCTATTTCTTAACTTTCAGCAAACTACACTAAAAATATTAATTACAGAACAAAAACGTAAGGAATGTATTGTAGCTGCCAATGATCTTACTCAAGCTTTGGTTGATCACTTGAATGTTGGGTAAGTACCTACCTTGTGACGTAAATTCACGCACAAATGCAACCTAAATTGAATTTAAACAAAACGCATGTCCCTTTCGATAGCAGGAAATTTATATGGAGCTATTACAATTAAGGCGCCCTCAAATTAGACGCTTATAGAAGCGCTGTAGCTGCAACTGTGGCGCGGCAGCCGCGCGGCTGTAACGTTTCAGCAATTTTTAGTTCACATAGGAGTCTATACAACCTCAAATGGCTTTGATTGATTCCGCATTACAGTGACAGTGTTGAATCAATCACTTTGGAAAAATATATATAGTAAAATTGAGGATATGCACTGACTACTATATTTCGATTCCTAAAAATTTTCACTATTGAAAAAAATACAAACTTACCTCGAAATTTTACGAGAAAACCGCTCTATTTAATAGGTATGATTTTTTTATATCAACTGAACTAAATAGAACACGTATACTATGTACATTTTGAAATGGTATTAATTTCGTTTGTAAAAAAATAAATTCTGAAATAAAGCCAGTGTTACCGCTCGACCTAAGCAAAATGAACCGTATTAGTACGGGAAAATTTTGAATTCGAGGTGAGGTAGTATCGAGTCTTAATCGTGACTGCAAAAGTGGCTCGTGCCACTCGTGCCACCACAGTGGCGCTGCAACTGCGCTTCTAAATAATGTATGATACCTAATGGCGCGGCTGCAGCGCCAAGTGCCACTGCAACGCTACCCTAGCGTCTACTTTGAAGGTAAGCTAATATTCAAACCTTTTCCTACTAATTATGAAAAATACTAATGCACTAAAATTAAGTTTATTTTTGTGTTCGCATTTCATACAAAATTTGATATAACTAATCCATTTATTTTGTAATAAAATCTTATAATAAAGACATAAAGTTGTCTCTTATCTAGTTTTATCTACTACATGGATAAACAATACAACATCTTTAAAGCCATTCAACTCGACATATTTAGTTAATTGTTTTAAACATGTGTAATAAGTTGAATTTACACCGTCACTATATTGCAAAATTAGAAAGCACTTATATTGTCGACTGACAACACAAACATTGATGTCCTTAAATCTATAATGTCGCTCCGCAAGTCTTTATATTTATTGGTCAAATATCTCAGACCTGTATTAAGGTGGTTTTCCATCGGCAAGGCGATACGAAGATTGAAATTTGCTTGTTAAGGTTAAAAAAAGATGGTTTCGTGTGATTCTTCTTCCGTTAACATATTTAATAATAATGATTTACCGGATACTTACTGCAGCCGCGTATTTATCGCTAGATGAACTGAATAGCACTGAATCTGCACTATCCACAATCACAACGCGTGCTTGCGCGAGCTCGCGCTAGCTATTAGTGGCATTTTTTGGTGGACATAGGCCGGTGAGATTTCAATTCTCGTCTCGTCTCGTCTCGCCTCACCGGTGGAAAACCACCTTTAATTGTGTGTATTTATTTTAGGGTATTACAGCCTAGTGGAATAACGGTATCTTCTCAATTGAAAAGTCCACGGTTTCTAAATCCCAGTGGCGGCATGTACTTGTGATTCCGAAGTCATATATACTTATGAATGTGTAGTGCAATACCTCGCACTAAGGGTGATAGAAAACATCATGCTGAAACCTGCACGTCGAAGAAGATTCACCAACCTCTCTGAAAACGTTTTGTAATGCAAACGTTAATCTTTAATAGATTTCTGAACGATTAATAAGACGTACACAATTATGCCGCCATTTTCTTTTCTCCTCTTTAGGAGTCAGGGCCCGTATTCGTGAAGCGCGAAATCCGTAGTTACGCCGTTTTCCTACTACGGACTGCTATGGATGACCTACACACCTGAGTTTTGATCGATGCACCTATAACTCAATTCACAATAGTCACTTAACAATAAACCCTTAGAGAAGTCCTGCCGTAGGATGTAAAACAGGTTGACGAGGATGATAATGATGTTGATATTTTTTCCAGTGTTGCCCAAGCATACCTAAACCAAAAGAAATTAGATGCCGAAGCCAAATTACTCCACCAAGGAGCCATCAATTTTGCCAAACAAACTCAGCAATGGCTGGCCCTTGTAGAAAACTTCAGCAGCTCCTTAAAAGAAATTGGTGACGTTGAAAACTGGGCCCGGAGTATAGAGAACGATATGAAAATAGTCAATGATACTTTAGGACGAGCCTATGAAATGGCACAAGAAAAGCCTGTGAACAGTGCTAACAGTAATAATCAGCAATAAATAGATTATATTATTAAACACATCTTGTTTTATTTGATTTCGTTTCATCTTCACATACGTGCACCATCAAGCAGTACCGGCTTTACCAACGGGTCAGGGTCTGCGGCGCACACGGGCGTAGGGTCTAAGGGCGACTTCCCACGGGCTGTGTCGCGGCCCTCCCGAGCGCGCCCGAGCGTGCCCGTGGCGGCCTGTTAGGATCCGCTGCTGGTCGGTAACTTCAAGGCCGAGGCGCGAGAGCGCGCGCGGTCTATGCTCTCGGCCGCCCGGACTCGCTCATTTCGCGAGCTCGCCCATACAAATCGGCACGTTTGACATCACGGACCGTGGGAACCCACCATTGGGGGGTACCGAGCGCCGCTCGCGACGCGTCTAAAGAACCTGTGTCACTTTATGGGGTATTGCTTCCCGACATCATTTTTAATTTCACCATTTCCACTCGAATCTTTTGATCATCGGAGGAAAATATAACTGTCAATATTCGATTTTGATCGCGTGCCCACCAGAGGGCGCCAGGTTATTGTTTGCACCCGATCGTTACATGAGCTAGCGCCGGCGCCGCCATTAAGCATAAACATAATCATTTAGTAGCAGTAGAGCTCCTTGTGAAAGTTCGTCCAGGTAAATACTGCCTTACCTATTGCGTTCCGGTTTTCAAGGCCAAGGGTGCTGATGAAATTACAGGCACGTAGGACTTCTCAACTTATTCCTCAGGGTGACGGGGCTGTGGCAGTGGCCCTAAGATCTTTGTGATTTAAAGCTCTAAGAGGCACTGCAATTATTATGGACAGGCGTGTCGCTTACCACCAGGCCCACGACTTGTTCGTCCTGTCACTCGGTATCATAAAAAAATCATACTCTCAATTTTACACCTGCCTGATCTTTTGCTGGTTTTCTAATCCAGTGTGGTCTTATTTCCCTGGCGTACACAACAATTGCTATCCGTTTGTTCATCTGCAGATGGACATATTTTCTTTCTCTTTCATCCTTAATCCATCTCAACTTACCGACCGAATATATTATGTTGTTTGATATTCACAATTGAGGCTCAATTTGAATAAAGGCTCATTTTTGTAACGAAATTTCATACAGCTTATTGACCTTTTTTTCAATTGTGTAACGTACAAACTATACTCTAGCCAAAGATTGTTTAACAATAAAACGCTGCTAGGTCTTCCGTGTTGTTAGGCAACCAATGATGGCAGGTGGAAAGGACATTCTTGTCAAGCTTATTATTTAGGCTAGCTCTGCCACTTAAATTTCATGCCCCATCAAATTATCGATAATTTCGCCAATGTCAAGTTGAGGAACACATGCGTTTTTACTCAAAAATTGACCGGTGAATTTCGACAGAATTCACTAAGGGTCGTATTCTAGAACTCTACTCAATACTCAAGTCAGGACTTGAGTATTGCAGTGAGCACTGAAAATCATACTCAAGTCCTTGCCATTAGGGTCGTATTTCCAGTGCTTGAAATCATACTCAAGTCTGCTCAAATCCTGACTTGAGCATTGAGTAAAGTTCTAGAATACGACTCTGAGAGGAGAATCTACAAAAAACCTACACAGATTTACACAGCACATGCAGAAAGGGAGAGTGGAGTAACGTTAGGAAGAAGTTGATATTAACGGGACGGGGGATTTTAGGTGAGAGAAAAATAGTTATTTTCTAACATTTATTTCGCGGGAAATTGTTATCTTACAAATACAGATTAGGAACACGCTTAATTTGAATGAATTGGATAAGAATTTTAATTCATAAACAATAAATTAAATTTTTTAACAGGAACTTATACAATGGACTGGGTTAAATTATTGACTAATTCTACAAAAAAAAAATCATTTATTTAGATAGTGGTTAGGGTGTGGGCAAAACTGCTTCACGTGTATAAACAAACGACAGGCTGTTCGGTTTCTCTGACGCACTTCCGTTTGTCTAGATTTAATGCATATCGACGCCGGAAAGCGCTCTTGTCGTATCTCGAAAAATAGGACTTTACACCGGGGCCGAAAAACTATTATAAAAAATTATTTCTCTCTAATTTGAATTAGTAGAAAGCATAGATATAGAAAAAAAAGGGGAGATATGGTATGGGGGCGTGATTCATGTGGTGACACGCCTACAAACATCGCCACAGTGACATGGCGATCGTTGTACATACAAGATCTCTCGTAAAACGTGAAAATGCCAAGTTGTAGCGACACACCTTGTAAAAATTAGAGTGAAAACAAAAATTTTAAAACCAATGAGATAACATTCCACCGGCTATTTGCATTTTTAGTCATTTTCTATTATTATTCAATGTTTTCTTTTTGTCTCCATAGAAATTTCTAAACTCAAATATAGTGATGTTCATTTACGAAGACTGATGTTTATCGACAATAAATTTTTACTGAAACGTTTGAATTTCTTAGTATAATTTTTGTAATTCAAATCCCTAAAATATCGAAGCGAAAAGCATTCACGTTAAATTGATTTCTTTTATTTTATTATTATTATTATTATTACTAAACATTTTATTTCGAGTAACTTTAACACAACTCATATTTCGGACAACCGTTTCAATTTCATGTCAATTTGGATGTTGCTGTTGCTTGAAGAAAAATTTATGTGTTTTAGATATTTAAATTCCATTATACTCGTAGATTAAACGTAGAGTATTTTTAATTTTTAAGTTTTTCCAATGAGTTCAAAATAAAAGAAGGTTGGATTGAAGCTGCAGGAAAATCGAAAGATTGGTTTTCTTATTACTATTTCTGACTTTGTTTCAATTTCCATAGCAAATGCATTTAAAAAATAAATAAAATAAAATCGGCTTTATTTTACTTGTGCATGCAAAATAAATTAGAAACAATTCTAGAAAATTACATAAATCCTTCATAAAAAACAACATAATTTAATTTATTAAATTCGTTGATGGTTCGAGTTTACTCTTGACAGTGACAGCTTCACCAACCCGTGGTAACGTATAATGGAAAATTGACACTGGCGACGATCGCCATATTTTTTATATTATTCTTATAAAACTGACACTGGTCCAAGCCTAGTGGCCGCCATTAAGAAAATAATATTAATTTAATAATACACCAGTAACAATGTAGATATAGTACAGTCAATTCGGGTAACTTTGAACATTTTTTGCGTTTTTCTAATAATTTCAAATTTAATTGTTTCTTAACAATTACTTTATTAACTGAATAGTGTTCTTTTAAGCCCTTTTTTCGTTCTTATAGAAGGAATTTAGTAATTATTCAACAAAACTGTTCTAGATTTGCTCCAAAAGTCACATTCAAAGTTGCCTTGAATTTTGGGTAACTTTGAATAAGATTAGCCTTCGATATGGAAACCGTATAATTTCTAGATATTTTACAGTTTGTGTAAGATTATACGACATATTCATGTTTTTTAGATGTGAATCTGTCCAAATATTCCTGACAGTGCGTTCAAAAACGACATTTGACTTGGTATTGTCATAATAAAACAAGACGAACTAATGTAGTTGAAATGAAAAACTTGTTTTTTTTAGATTTTTTAATTAATGCGAATAAAAATGAAAATTTTCTGTTTAATAATAAATTCTACGCTTATTTAGCTATCAAACGAGATCAAAATGAATCACCTATAACAGTGTTTCCCAATTAGTGGTACGCGTACCCCCAGGGGTACGTGAAGTTGCATCAAGGGGTACGCGCGGCTATCAGTGAAAACAACAATTTCCTGACCTACGATCATCATCGTAAAAGCACGGAGCAACGAGCACTATGACCGACCAAACGCTATCCCGCGCCTCCCGCATCTCGCGTCATTCAGACGCCCGCCCCCGCCACCCGCCGCCCGCACTCCTTTCTCGCTTCGTTCGCGTCACGCCAGTTCGAGTTCGGCTTTTGTCGTGAGCAGTGTGACAGTGTTTTGTTTTGATTGTGAATTAAATACTAAGCGTCGCGTTACATCGGCCTAATATACCTTGGAAAACGGTAAGATAATTTAAAATCTTCGAATAATTACTAATAATATAAGAGTTGAGTTGCTTAAGTTTTGCAGTTACTATTTTGTAAGCTTTTTAATAAAAAATATGTATAAGATTGTATGAGGCGTTACTATTCGAAAGTTTAAATTTTAAATGAGTCATCAAATCCCAGGGTCAGCGGAGGGTATAGGGCCTGATGGTAGGCCTACCCATGTAAAAAATAAAAAATATATAAACAG